TATTGTATTTAACCATTAACGTTGTAATGTTAGAACTACCAGGGTTTGCCGTTTTTGTTGTACTTTTTGTGTTGTTTTGGGGTGAAATTATTATTGATGCGTTCGGTTTCTATAGCTACCTCTGCCTTATGTATAATTATATTGAGACAGAATGAGGGACTTTAATGTGATATCGTGGAATGTCAATGGTCTAAATTCTCCCGTGAAAAGATCCAAATGCCTAGATTATCTCCATCGCAAACGAGCTGACATGGTCCTAATACAAGAATCCCACCTCAAGGCTCCTGATGTTACTCGCTTTCAGAATAGACATTTTAAAGTGATAGCTTTTTCATCATATAATAGTGCATCAAGAGGAGTTATTATTCTTCAGAACAGAAAATTCCCGTTTCTAATAGAGAAATCGGGTGGGGATGAAAATGGGCGGTTTACATATGTGTCAGGTTCATGGAATAATTTGAAAATGGTTCTCTTCTCAGTATACTCCCCTAATAACTATGATGCAGATTTTTTTCCATCTCTTACCAAATCCCTCCTTAATTTTGCTGACTACAAACTGGTCGTAGGAATAGATGCTAATGCAGTTTGTAATCCATTAATCGACAGATCCCTTGTCTCTGTTCATGGTGATCAGGCTTCGCAGTCGTTAAACGATCTCATTGCTGATAACGATTTATGTGATATCTGGAGAGTGAAGAATGAGAGCGGTAGAGATTATACTTTTTATTCTGCACGCCATAAATCATTTTCGAGGCTAGATTACATTCTGATTTCTAAATCTCTTACTCAAGGTGTAAACCATATTGATATTTTACCCATACTGATTTCAGATCACTCCGCTGTGATTTGTAATCTATCTCCTCCGATAATTCCCCTAAGCTCCAAAAGGTGGCGTATGAATACAACTCTTTTGCAAAATGAAGATTTTGTAAAACAGTTACGTTCTAAATTATCTCTGTTTCTCAAAGAAAATTCGAGCTCAGCTACTAATCCACAGATGCTATGGGAAACAACCAAGTGTTTTTTGAGAGGAAATTGTATTTCTTTTGCCTCCTATGTAAATAAATCCAGAGTTAAACAATTAACCCGTCTGGAGGATCAGATTAAATGTGTAGAGAAGGATCTTAAAAAAACATTTACGGAACAGAAAAGCAGAATCCTAGCGAATTTAAAAACTGACTACAAGGCAATCTTACTAAAAAGGGTAGAATTTTTGATCCACCGTACCAAACAAAATTACTATTTTAATGGAGAACGACCAGGCAAACTAATGGCTTTAAGGTTGAAACACAATGAGGCCTTGGCCTCAATAACTGCCATTAGGGACAATGCAGATGTTCTTCACACAGCTCCGGGTGATGTAAATAGGATATTCAAGGAATTTTATGAGCATCTATACAAATCTGAGGTGGGAGTGAATGAACAACCTGTCATTGATTTTCTGTTAAATTTAGAACTACCCCAATTAAGCGAGCAGCAATGTGCTTTTCTTGATTCTCCAATAGAACTTAATGAATTGAAGGAGGCTTTAGAAGTTATGAATAAGGGAAAGGCCCCTGGTCTGGATGGTTTACCCCCAGAGCTGTATCTGGCAATATGGGATTTGATTGGACCACTCCTCCTTGACTCCATAAATTTTGCTATTGATACGGGTTGTTTCCATCGAGATCAGAACACTGCTCTTATTTCTCTTCTACTGAAAAAAGGGAAAGAACCCTTATGCTGTTCTAGTTACAGGCCGATTTCACTAATTGGTACGGATGTCAAGTTATACGCTAAGGTTCTAGCCCGTCGTTTGGGACCAGTCGCCAGCTTCCTAATCGCCCACGACCAGACAGGATTTCTTAAGGAACGTTTTGCTACAGATAATGTGCGACGCCTTTTGGACATCATTGACTCACCCAACCCGGTTAATGAGCAACGCGCTATCCTCTCACTAGACGCAGAGAAAGCCTTTGACCGGGTCGAGTGGACATATTTATGGTCTGCCTTAACCCGTTTTGGATTTGGCCCTCGTTTTATTCATATGGTTCAGACTCTCTATGGTAACTCTTCTGCACGGGTTTCAACGGGTTTGTGCTGTTCAGAAGCATTCCCGTTGAATAGAGGCACTAGACAGGGTTGCCCTTTATCGCCCCTATTATTTGCAATTTCATTAGAGCCCTTAGCGCAGGCAATTAGGCAGGACCATATTATTTCCCCGATTATTGTTGGCGACTCCAAACATTTTATCTCTCTTTTCGCGGACGATATTCTTCTCTACATGTCTAATGTTTCCTCTTCTCTACCTCGGTGTCTTAAAATATTTAATGACTTCAGCGTCTTAAGTGGTTACAAAATTAATTGGGGAAAATCTGTATTAATGCCCCTGTCTTCGTCATCAAATACTGCATTAGCGTCTTCCTCGATCCCAATTAGTAATACATTTAAATACCTGGGAATCCAGATCTTTCCATCACTTCAAACTATCTCTAAAGAAAATTATAGTTCTTTATTTACTGCTATCAGACGAGATTTACAGAGATGGGACGTTATTCTAGTCTCACTGCAAGGCAGAATTGCAATCATTAAAATGAATATCCTCCCTCGACTTTTATTTCTGTTCTCCATGATTCCTTTATCTCCCCGTATAACCTTTTTTAAAGAGATGAATTCCTTGATTACAAAATTCATTTGGAATAACAAACGACCAAGAATTAAACTCTCAACATTGCAGAGAAGATCTGATAAAGGAGGCTTGTCACTTCCGAACTTAAAATTGTACTTTTGGGCATGTCAGCTCCGCTCGCTCAAGATTTGGTTACAGGTTGACTCGCAGATCGCCTGGCGGGAAGTGGAAGCATCAGCTGTGCTCCCACATCGGCTCCAGGATATTTTATTCACGGGTTTATCAAAGAAAGACCTAAAGTTTGGGAATACAATTGTGTATAATTCTCTTAAAATTTGGCATGAGGTATGCAAATTCATGGGAAGTTCATCTAAGTTCTCATCTGAATCGCCGATCTGGTATAATCATAATTTGCAATCCGACAACAGACCTTTTGTTTTTAAGCCATGGTCGGATCGAGGTGTACATACTTTTGGTGACATATTCAATAATCAGGGATTAAGGTCTTTTCAAGATCTGACAGAGTGTTATAATCTGCCTGGACATTCCTACTTTCTCTATTTAAGGCTGAGAAGCGCAATGCGTGCTTATGGAGTACCATGGAACTGTAACTTGGACTCTCACCCTCTGATGGACTGTGTGAACTTTTCACAGACACGAGGAGCAGTGTCATTCATTTACAACAGACTGCTCAAGCACAGCTGCGGAAAGCTCCCCATCACCACGATATGGGAAAAGGAATTAGCTCCTTGCAAACCAAATTGGGACTGGATATGGGACACTATTTCAACAATGTCAAAAAATCTTGCCCATCAGTTAATACATTATAAACTGCTTCATAGGGCTTACGCTACTCCAAATATCTTGCACAAAATGAAACGCTTGCCTACCCCGTTCTGCTCACTCTGTAATTCAAACACTGTGGGTACTTATATGCACATGTTTTATGAATGCCAACATATTGGTAACTTTTGGGATGAGGTATTTCAAGTAGTGTCAGAACTATGTGATAAGGTAATCCTTAAGCACCCAAGTCTCTGTTTGTTGAATGATGATGCAGATTTTGATCTGACTGTTAGCCAGCGTAGGATTCTTCACACTGCTCTAACTGCAGCCAAAAAGATTATCTTCAAGATTTGGCATGAGCCTACAATTCCAGCAGGCAAATTGTGGCTCATAGAAATTAAATACATTGCACTATTAGAACTTACTACAGCAAGAATTAACAAAGCCAAGCCAAAAACACTTAAGGCCTGGACTGAATTTGTTACAAAGCTATCTTCTATCATAATTCAATAGGTCACCCGTACTGATTACTTCTGAGCATTTTTAAGGAGGAGCAGTGGTAATCCTGGAGCTGTGCTGGTATTGTTATTCCACCCCTAACTTATTAATATACATGTCTATGTGTATTTTATTTGTTTTTAGTACAAGCAAACCCTGGTCTTGTACATAGTTATATGTGGTTGCACTTGTGGACCATGTTAAACTTTGCAATAAATAAATAATCATAAAAAAAAAAAAATTAAAAGATACCGTGTGATTCCTAAAAATTGAGCCTAGTGGTAGCATGTATAGTGAAAGTAATTTTAATATATATATATATATATATATATATATAAATTGTCCTCACTTCCACAGTGTCTTCAGGAATGCGGAGGGTATCATGTAACACACACACACACAGATAAGTGCGCCCGGGCCCCCGTCTGACTTTGAGGTTTTCAGGATTCAGAGAGGTCTAAAGTAATTTATTGATATCAACTCTTTCTCACAAACATAGGCAGAAGACTGTGTGACATAGTGACCTGGCTGTGAATCTGGGATCAATCTGGGATCTTTTTAACTTTAAATGTATGGACATTTTATTGTATTTTGAATTTTGGTTCTTTATCTGTACCCTGACCGTGAACTGCGAGGTACATCAAACCATCAGCTGCATTTCATGCTTGTCTCCCAACAGATGAAATAGCGTTCAACAGATTATAACTGGAAAAAAAATGATTAGCAAAACACACTACCTGTTGTTTTGAAAGGAATTATAGTCTTGTTTATTTTAACTAAACATAAAAATCTGTGTAACTCACACAGAGACATAAATGCACCTATCTGCCTGCGTGATAGAGAGAATCACTCAATCTTTTTTATTTTATTTTAAATGAACTGAATGCTTTTCAACTTTAATTATTGTGAGATATGTAGCATTATTAGTAAAACTATTTTTCTCACTAACCCTGCGACACCTGGCAGGGAGGGGAATTCCATGACTTTATCTTTAATTCAACATTATCAAGGATAGGCGGTCAATAGGTTAAAAAACTAACTGTCAAATCCAATTTGATCCCTTTAAAGGCACACTATGCAAGATTTGTACCTTAATATAACAGCTCCAAAGTCGTTTCGGTGGTAAGCAGAGTCATAGTAGGGCGAATCATCCTGGTAGTGAAGCTTGGGGAGGACGCCGCCGGAAAAACCAGCCATGCAAGTTTGAAAGTGGCGCCCCTGACAAGTCGCGCGATAGTCACGAAATGCTTTACGGCAACGACGTCACACACATCAACAACATATGAGGCCACTTGCGCGAACAGTGTATAGTCTGCGGTATCTTGCCGAAGAAGAAGAATCCGAAGCTGAACCCACTTTCGCGCAAAAAGGACGATGGAAAAATCCAAGAAAACTCGGTCGGAAGAGTCTAGAAAAAGAAAGCGAGAGTCGGACCGTGTTAGAAACCGGACAAGAGTCCCACTCGGTCGTGCTTTTACTCGCTGGCGAGAGATTAAAACCAGCACTGGATGCAACAGCGATGCTGACCTGGCGATCTTGCTGATGGACTTGTAAGTAAATCTCTTATTTGTAATCTTGTTTACATTCTATGTTGTTATGCTGACTTATAATTTGCCATTTTTTTACGGTGCTGTTCATTCATCCATTGTTGACAATTAGACCAGTTCAATAATTCACATCTCTAGATAGACTTCCTAACAAACTGTCGTTTCTATATATATTTTTCTTTATGTTTTTTGACTCGCTTGCCAGCTGGTCTTGTGATGTGTATTTATCACGAAACAACTTAGTCCTTTTCTGATTTCTTATGGCGTGTGTACTGTGCATAATATACAAACTTTAGCTAACTAATAGTGGACTTTAGTGGAATTCAGGAATTTCCACGTAGTTTCAAACTGATTGTTTCAAACAAACTTCAAGCTTGTTCAGTATTACTTTTGCTGCTGAGTAAATACTGATAATATCCTTTAATTGTAGTTACCAGGATAAGGTAGTTATGTCTACACCCAGCAAGGGTCACATAAGACCGCCAATTCCACCTGTGTCCAGTATAACAGAGGAGTCAGACTGTGAAGGGTATGTTTTTATGCTCAATGATAATACTCCAAGTAAGACATAGCACATTGTAAACAAATCATTTATCTATTCAATTAGGCATGAAGACTTCCCTGTACCTGGTGTCCAGCCATTGGTCACAGAGACAGAAGAAGGTGATGTTTTGGAATCCAGGTGAGATTGTTTTTTGATTATATAATTAGAAAATATATATTATGCATTATATATATTATATATAAACCTACACACACACAGACACACACACATACATACATGTTAATAAGTTATTTTTACTATCATTGCAGCATGCATTCTCTAAGCATTGCAGAAGAAAACGACTCTCCAGATGAGGGGGATGCCAATGACTTGAGGAACAGCTTGTAAGTATTGTGCTGTACTGGTTATTATTTGCCTTCCACTGACATATCCCTCCAGTCTGATGTTCATCCGTGTATCTCTTGTACAGCATTGAAATGGATGATTGTTGGGTTGATCCTTCTCATAAGGACTGGAAGGATGAGGACAGCTCAGATGAGGATTATTTTCCTTTTCTTCAGCTACGGTAAATTTCATGTTGTGCTGTGTTCATTATCACAACTACACACTTCTTTCAATGTAAATTTTTTTTCTACATTCTGGTTTTTATTTAGAAGGTAATCAATGTCCATATACTCTGCTTCTATACACAGAACTGGTCGGGTCAACACAAACAATCTTGCTGAAATAAGCTTAGATGAAGCTGTGCTTGATGTTGCCACACCCAATCCTCCTGAACTTGAGTCACAATACATCCCTGAACAAGAACGAGTTCTCTGTGAGGAAGATCTGGTGGGGAAAAGTGCCAACATCACCTACAACAACAACCTCCATCAGCTCGCCATGTATTTGATGCTACCACTACAGAAGTGCAACTACCTAGACCGTGTTTCTGGTGTAGCATGCAGCGGTGAACCGCCATTTCGGGTGAGCCTGAAACCTCGGGGGACTGGAGTCATTTTGGAATGGGTAAGATAAGATGAATGCATTTGGATAGGGGACTTAGTGAACTGGTTGTAAACAGTACAGCTTTGATAAAATTAACATAAAGTTAAGATATTGGTGTTGGCAACAAGCAATAGATAATGAGCTCTACATTACTTATGCATTTGTGAGTTTTTGTGCTAAAGCTATTCTACAAATTTGACAGGACTCTAACCAAATGTGTGCAAGTGTTTAAACAAAATTATTTTTTGAATGCAGTCATGCCCCTTTGGACACATTCTTTGGAAATGGAACTCACAGCCAGTTTTGAAGTACGGCATGCAGGGGGGTGACTTCATGCTGGCTACAAATACTCTTCTTTCTGGCAATAACTACAGGAAGATTGCCCTCCTTTTTCAATTTATGAAAATGCCAATGGTTGCTGAGGGGACTTTCTTCCGAATTCAAGATGCTTATTGCATTGATCCAGTCCAGGAATGTTGGGAAAAAAATCGGGCTGTCATTATAAACCGGTTGTGTCAAGAAGAACATGTCGTTGTTCTAGGTAAGGTGTTGCATATTCGTTAACCACCATTACATTACTACTATTATTATATTTAGCTGTAATGGTGTAGAAAATATGATTCTAATGGATGTATTTTTGATCTATTCTCTAGGTGATGGCAGAATGGACTCTCCAGGTACTATGTTTTTGATCATATTGTATAATTGCATGTGTACAGTCCACATGCTGACGGCTGAATTTATTAATTTTTTTTAATAGGACACTGTGCCCAATACTGCACTTACACAACTCTTGAGCAAGAGTCAAGAGACATTGTGCACATTGTCACCGTAGACAAGCGTGAAACAAACAGGAATTCCGTGATTATGGAGAAGGAGTGTTTCATCAGGACCATGGACTCACTAATCCAGGAAATTCCGGTAAAAGAAGTTGTCACGGATGCCCACCCACAAATCTCTGCCTTGCTAGGTAAGGATAAGTTTTTGGATGTAATTTCTAGAGCCATCGATTTTTTTTTTTTTTTTTTCTACTAATAATTGTGTCATTACAAATGCGTTATTATTGGTTTCAGATCCAAAGCGTGGGCGCTACAAAAATATTCACCACTCTCTTGACATATGGCATGCTGCCAAAAATCTTGGAAAAAAGTTGCGACGAGTATGTAATCATCGTAATTTATACAGTATTCTACAACTATTCTATGCCCTTAAAGATGAAGACTGATTCTTTTGACTTGCATTATTGTCTTGGTAATTAAAATTTTTGAAGCCAAATATTAACCTTGGCTTTGTTTCCTTTTTATCATTCAATCAGGCTGGCACAATGAAAAATCAGAATTCAATTCTAGCCTGGATGAAGGACATCGTTAACCACTTTTGGTATTGCTGTAAGCAATCATTGTCCGAGGAGCAGTTCAAGGTATTTTATAAGTCTTTGTAATGTCGCTGTAAAAAAATTTCTTTGTGCATGCAGAAAATTTTAGTTTCTAGGCTAGCTGTATGTACAGTAATCTATGTTGGTGCATTTCTACAGATGATGTGGCATGGTGTCCTACACCATGTCCGCAATCAACATTCGTGGGCAACTGGATGCTGTGATCATGAGCCTCTGGATGAAAGCAGCCAAAACAAGCCATGGATCCAGGAAGGTTTGAACAATTTTAGCCACCTGATGTTCATTTGCTCAGCGATTGTGATTTTTACTCTCTTTGATATGTGATTACAGGTTCAGCAGCTCATCAGGCACTTACAGCAATCGTGCTTGACAAGCGCTGGTTGAGCCAGGTGAAGAAGTTCATCAACTTCAGGTATGCATCAACTGTCATGCAATTACAAATGCACTAAAGTAGCAATTGTATTTATTTTAAAATGTAAATACTTCAATTACACTTATGCATAGCCATGTTCTACTTCATTCACAGTTCTGATAGATGTGTTTTTGTTGTACATTTTTATAAAACTATGTTGAATGTAGGCTAGAAATTGTGGCTGAACAGTGTTTGTCTTTTGCCTTTGTGGTAAGAAGTGTTACTATTGTGTGCCTCCTTCCTTTCCCTCCAGGACCACTTCTGATTTTGAAAGCTTCCAAAATCATATACTGATGTATGCGGCAAAGCGCTTCGCCTACAGCCCACCTGTATACAGGACGCGAGTTTTGCTTGCTGCATTGGATTACAATAACCACAATCATCGCCAGCCAGCCCGTAACAAGGATGGACACAAAATGTATGTATTTACTGTAACATCTGCACTTTGAAAAATTTTGAAATCACTATACTAAAATCTACACTTTCTTTACAGATATAGAAGATACTTCAATAAAAAATCAAAAAGCTGGAGTGTCTACACCACAAAGGAGAAGAAGCAGTACAGCTACATACAAGACCTCCAGAAGTCCATTATTGGGAGAAGGATTGCAAGTGGGAGAGGCCTTCCCCGCAAACAGACGCTCAGGTCCGATGATCCAAGGCGCAGGGGTTTGCTAGCTGATGTACTGCCACCACCCACTGCAGAACTAGTGCAGGCCCACATCGAAAGAGGACACATTCCTCCACACTGACTGTAATCTGGTCCTTGTAAATATTTGTAATAA